TGCCTATTAATGCTGTACCCACAGCAGGCTTCCGAAATTCTTGCCACTGGCTTTTTGCAATGACTGTCTGTTTCCCGCACAGAGTCTCCAGTCAGATAAGGAAGCCCTGCAGGAGGGAAGAGGGACAGTGTTCAAGTACCACAGGACATCAGATGGCTACATACAGATAGGTAAATTACTTGTTCAAGGCAAAAGCTGGCCTGCTGTTTGCTGATAATGCGCCACATTGAATAAACGAATAAAGACCACTAAAAACCTTCCTTGGAATTGATTTGCCTGGAAATGAGATTGAAAGTCAATCATGTAGAGCAAGTTAGGCTTTTTTTCTCTCCATGAGCCAAAACTTGGATGGGTTTTAATCACAGTTCTCCTTTGTGCAGGGCGTGCACACTCTCTCTCATCTAACAATATAGAAGGATTAAAGCTGATTCCCAGCGCAGGGAAAGAGGAATTGAACAGACCTGAAGGGAACGAACAAAGTTGGCTTTCAATTAAGCAAAATGCTGTCGTGGTGCATTCGTTAGTAACTTCCAGCAAGTTTCCTCTCAGAAGCACCAACAGGAGTAGTTTTCAGATGCCTTGTGCTAGGATCCTTGCTGCTGCTGCATGGCTTTGAGGGTTCCCACGTGGAGCATTGTTGGAGAGAGCAAAGGCTTTCACGATGAGGGAAAAATTATAGATGTGATTTTTTAAGTCAATTTCACCTTCTTTTTTCTGCTCTGCAGAGCAGGCAGTACTGTGGGCTCATGCATACATTGGTGTGGACACACGGCTCAAATACACCACCCAGGAAGATCCTAGGGCTGGAAAGGTCCCTACGGGAACAATGCCTCCAGCACGCCTTAAAGAGCTGAAGAAAATCTCTGGAGATGGAGCTCCTTTATCACAAAGTACAGGCTCCAGCTTGTGGTTCAGGGTAGCCAAGGCTGAGTGAGGAATTCCTGTGCTGCTGTTTGCATTCTGGTGGCCTTTGCCACCATACAGACATGCTCAGGAAAGTTAAGGGACTAAATATTCTCCTTACAGTGTCCTTTTCTCCAGGACCCTGTTCAACTTCACAAGGTTTCCATAGATGCATTAAATGTTAACTTGTGAAACACTGCCACCTACTGGCCATGTAGGTCTCTGCACTTCTAGACTTCTGAATCCAGTTTCTTTGGTTGAGATGCATCACTTTTTTTAAAGGTATTGCTATTCTGGGAAGGGCATATGTTTGACCTCACAATGCCCTGACTCCCTTTCATTGGAGAGAGTGCAGTGGATCAGTCAGGTAGTTTGGTGCTCTGTGCAAACTAAAAACAATGAGCACAGGAGGTTACCCTCTGACAGGTTCAGTGGTAGGCAACACTTAAATGTTGCAGCTGCTTAAAGAGGAAGAGTCGTTGGTTTGTACAGGACCATAATCCGTCAAAGGCTCCCAGCAAAGGCCTGGGTTAGTACTCTGTAACAGCTACTGGAAAACTAGACTGAAAATGAGACTGCTTGCTGCTGAGGGGGGACTGCTTGCTTAGCAGTCTTAAGTTCAGTTCAGCTGCTCTTGGGAGGATATTCTACCCCAGACCTGTCTGCTTTTCTCCATTAGGCTCCTTTTCTAAGGGTGTTGCAGAAGGAGAAGTGGACCCTTCATTTGGGCCTCTAGAAGCCGTCCGACTGGTCATCCAGACTGATTCTCCAGTGTGGATCATCTTGAGTGAGGTAACCTGTTTTTCTGGCTTAAAAAAAGCAACTTAGATCTGGACAGCTCCTTCCAACAGCCTGGAACAGACAGAACCCCTCCCCTCCCCCCAAATTCTTCCCACATAGGAAGAGCAGATATCAGGGTAAAAGGGGTGGTGGGATTTTGAGTTCTCCTTGAGGGGAGAAGGGTGAGTGGCCTTTCAACCTGTTGAATCCAGAGTGCCTGGTCTTAGAAGCACAATCCTGCTCCCATGAAAGCTAATGGAAAAGCTCATCTGGGTCTCCATGGGCGTAGGATAGGCCCCTAAGTGGCAATGCATTTTGTACAGAAGCTTTTAATGTAGAGATGAACCTGTGGAGTTCTAGTGAGTTGCACAAAGGGATTGTTACTCTAGTTGGGGCAAGTGCTTTCCTGGCCATGTGACTGTTGTTAAAACCACCCTTTTGTGTCCTTTGGAGAAAGGAATAGGTGCTTGCCCCTTACTACTAGCCAGACAACTGAGAAGGGAGAAAATGGGCTTGTACAAGGAATGTTTAAACATCCAGAGTATTTTTTAAACAATTAAATTCTTGATAGTGTCCCTTCAAACCCACCACAGTTCTAATAGCCTGAGGGTCTGGGCCGGTGGATTTGGCTTTTTCTGCCCTCTAACATCATTTGTGTCTTGCATTTCTAAGGGGGCAAATGCCCCAGAGCTGTCACCTTGCTTGCCTGTCCCCCAAACCAGCATCGCTAAGTAAGGGGTGTGTGCACTGCCCTTTGGAGGCTAGTCGCAGGCTGCAGTCACGTGATCTTTTGGTATCACCTCAAGATGGTGTCTTGTCAGCAACAAATTAGCAAAAAAAAACCCCAAAAACCCCACCCTCATTTGAATGCCCTTCCTGGAGGTCTTCTGTAAAACAAACTTCACACGTGTGTCCTCTCTTCCTGCTAGCCTGGGGACGGCCTGAGAAAGTGCCCAACCCTGAGGCCTTTTGCTTCCTTTCTCTTATTCTCCCCCATTCTATCTTTTCAGATTTTTCTGAAAAAAGCAGAATGAAATTCCCAGGACGAAGGGTGGATGCGCAAAGCCGTTGCTCAGTCCCTCCTCCCAATCTTCCTCTCCCTTTCATTCCCTCCCCCCAGTCTGCAAACAGTGTGAAAGTGTTGCATGCACAGCGCCACCATCTGCTCTAAGCCAGGAAGAAGAAACAAGTCTGCGGCCAAAATACACAAATCCTGGCAAGCTCCACAACAGACTACATGGAGGGGAAACATTTCCATAGGTGGGTGCTGGCTGGCATTAAACAAGAGAGCACCAGGGCCCGCACTGGCACGTGTTGGCTGCAGCTGACTTTGCGGGGGGCGGTCAAACTGTCCGCTCTTGCTGTATAGAGACCAAGGGAAAATACTCCTACTTTAAAGGTTTGGTTTGTTCCCCTGGGCGAGGACCACACTGTCACTCATCCTCTCAGGGACATGGCTCCCTGAGTGTAGCAGCTGGATCAGACGAACTTACAGCACGGTTTGGCGTGCTTACAGAACGAAGGATCTAATGAGCAGGAAGGCCATACGTATCTTCAGCCCAGGAAAGGGCAGACCCTGGCTATATTGGGTGGGGGCCCTATTGCTGGAGCAGTGAAGGGGGAGGGTTTTGCAATGAGCACAGGGTGACTGAATTCCCCTTACCAACTGCAGAGCAGGGTTGAGGTATATTGGGGGAAACCATCACTGCCTGAATTGCTTCATTTCCCCTTGCCCCAGCAAGAGGCGTTTCCTCCAGGACTACAGCTGAGGATTAAGTGAGTAGGAAGATGGAGCTCTCCTCTTGGTCCAGGAAGGGTCATGGCTCTACCAGAGGAGATTACGTATATCGGTATGGCAGGGAAATACTAAACCACACTGTGCCTGCCAGGGTTGAACACGGCCCCTGAATAAAACTTACGTTGAAGGCATCAGTGTCTTCACGCCTTGAGATTTTGAGTGCAAAATCCATCTTTTTAATAAATATTTCAGTTACTGGTTGATGTGAATTTTGAAAATAAGTAGCCCAGTTCTAAAATGGTAGGGAGTCGTGTAATTTCTCAAAGTTTTTTCTGAAATCCCAATGTCTCTTCAGCTATACACTGGAATGCATTATACTACTTTAATGTGCTGTATTTTTTATTATTGGATACATTTGATTTTTCAAGTACATCTCTATATAAATATATATTAAAAATAACGTGCACTGTAATAAAGTTTAATTAAATTTAAAATCCTTGCCCTTGTCTTCACTCAAGGTTTTAACTTTCTAGCAAGAGGCTCTTCATATTTAACTTGCAGATTGTACAATTGCTTTCCCTTCCCATGGCTCGGCAACGTACCTCTGGATTCTAACTGGGGTGATAATTTAGCCAAGGCAGAGCTGCTCGTGGCACCGGTGCCAATTCCAGGTGCCCTGCTTCTACAGGCAGGGAGCTGGAGTAGCATAACTGAACAGCCTGTACGCCAGCTCTGCGTAAACGAGGAAAAGGAACCACTGCTAAACTCTCACTCCTAATATATTACATCTAAAATGTGCTTTTTATCCCCCCTTACTAGTCTACTACTGAGAAGGGTCACAGGATGCTGAAAACATTCTCAGTGGCTCTGAATCCAAGTAGAGGGACTTAATTCCTCCCTCCCTAATTCCTTTATTAAAACTGATGCAAGTTTCTGTTGGGTTAGGAGAGGGCCTTTCTTTGAATGGCTTTTGCTTTTAAAGTGTGGTTATAAAACAATACTTCAGCAATTTTCTTCTGTGTTCCTCCCCTTCAAACCAGTATATCTAAAGCTGTAAGTCTGGGAAAGTATTTCTTCACCTTTTCTGGCTCTTTTCTGTCTCCACTCACCAACTCTGTATGCAGTGCACCCCTGGACTGTCCTATGACATTAGATGCATTGACTCTTATAGCAGAAAACCTGGGTATGTTTCCCATTGCTCAGGTAAGTGCAACAACAAGTAACTACAATGGAGTAAAAATGTCAAAATTTCAAGGCAACTTGTAGTTCAGCAAAGGTAAGCAACATCAGACTGTGACAGCTCTTGGTTTGGCCATGGAAATGAAAGCTCATCTTTTTCAGTTATTGTCATGCTTTTGAGTGCCCAATTTGATAGCTAGGAGCACCCAGAACTTTAGCAAAGCAGATCCTAGCAATCTCATCTTGGGTGCCCAGTGCCATAAGCCATTAGAAAACATGGGCCTAAAAGCATTTAAGCATTATATGAACAAATGTCCTAGAAATAGGTGGTCTAGACCTTGCCTCCCACTATCTGTATACTAACGCTCTATTTGAAGTACTGCTGCATAGACAAAACAGCTGAGAATTACAACAGCCTCTTTTTATTAGCTTAAGCAACATCCTACCGAAGCTGAGTCTGGTGGCAAAATCCTTAGTTTCAGCTGGGTGCATGGGATGGGAAGGAAGAACAGCATGTGCTGCTAATCACGTCTGTCTTTAGCTTCTCTAGCAAGCCTGTGCTTTTCTACATGCATATGCACAACGTTTAGTGGGGGAAGAGAAGGGGTTTTAAAAGCCAACTGAGGCAAATGACTGTAGCGTTGCTCTAGTCTCCACTTGTGATTAAAACGGTTTCCTAGTAAGTGGAACTTGCTGTGGATAACCTGGGGTGGCGGGAGGGAGAGAACCACTTTCTCCCTCTTCCCCCTCGTTAAAGGAAGAGAATTGACGCAGGGGACAACTGCCTGAACATAAGTTTGGGAGTATTTTAGATCTCTTCCACCACAGCACGCTATTTTGAACGGCTTTAGCGTGGAGAAAGTAAAGATTAAAATCTCATCAGCCTGGCAGCGTTGGAGGAGATGCTGAGTGGAGGGTTTAGGTCAGCAGTCACAGGCCCTGTTTACCACCGGAAGAGCAGTTGCAGTTTGCTTGGAATTTCCATTCTCCACACAAAAGAACTGAGTGACAGGAAGTGAACCAAAAGCCCAGCCATGGACAAACCAATCAAAATCCACAGAACTTTGGCGCTGAAGTACATAGGCCCCAATCTGTGTGAGGAGAAAACATTCATTAAAAGAGAACAATGACCTCCTCTGCCAGCAAGGATATATATTTTTTTTAATATAAAACAAGCAGGGTCTGTAACAGGCGTTGAAAACAGCCAACTTCTACCCTCAAAAATCAAGGGGTTTTTAAAGCTATTTACTGAAAGTTCTGTGCAGCCTAGCAAAGTGTCTTTGCCACTGGTAAACAGTAAGACCACCACATTTGCATATGTGGTTGACACACTGAAGCTGCTGCACACTAGAACAGCCAGCTTCACAAGTGCTTGTGGGTGACAAGGTGGGACGCACAAACTCAGTGAGCCACTGAGTGGCTGGGCCAGGCAATTATTTAACAGGAAACTTTTGTGTTGGCTTTAGCATGCTTAAAAACCCTTCAGCTAGTACAGAATCAATTTACTTTGTTATAACCTTGTTTCTCAAACTAGTAACCTTCAGCAGCAGCAGGTTTAAAGTTATAAATGCAGCTGGCTACAGTTATTGTTAAGCACCCTGGAGTCAGCCTCGAGTGCAGGTTGAGTTTTATGGACGGTGAGCATTCCAGAGGAAAGATGTACGCTTCATTTAGAGGAACTGCACTGCCCATTGTTACACTCCAGGTTAGACCCACTTGATGAATTGGTAACACATTCATGGTGCTCTTGCCATGGGGGGCAGGGAGGAAATTAATAGCAGCAGTGGGTTTCTAACAGCAAAGTGGGAAAGTATACAGGCCCAGATCCTCTTCATAGGTATTTCAGCACCTAACTCCCACTGATTTTAATGTGTATAAGGCAGGCTCGTTGTTGGGCACTTTCACCCACACGATTTCATGCCTGGCTACGTACTCACCTTCCATGAGCAGAGAGCGTATATCCCTGGAAGTACTGGTACCGAGCATACAAGTAGAGTAGCCCACAGACTGCAGCCACACCTAGATGTGAAGCCAAGAACCAAAATCATTACCATGGGGCAGTGCGCTAAATGCTTCACGGCCAGAGTCTGAAGGCTACAAAGTCTGACAAGTAATTGGAAGAGAACAATTCAGCAAAATCAGAATTACAAATGGACCGTGAGACATCTGACCAGTGCACCCAGTGCTGACTGGGAGGCAGAGGCCTACTGCCCTCCCACTATTTACTGGCCATAAGGATGAGTGAGAGGGGGCAGGGGCTGGGGGAAGAGGTGGTGTGGGAGGGGGGCCTCAAGGGAAGGGGGGGGCGCAGGGCCTGGGGGGGGGAAGGAAGCTTCTGCCACCTCTGCTGGGAGGGGTAGTCATGGCTTTTTCCCTAGGCTAAAAGCCATATTTCCACACCCCTCCCTCTTTAGGAGAAATAAATGAATAGCAGTATATTGCCTGAGACCTTTAGGAACTCCTGCACGTCGAGGCCATATAGGAGCAAAGTTTAGCAGCTTAAGGAGTAGGAGGAAGACAGGACTAGTTCATCTCTAAAGCCTAGAAGCACTAACCAGCCACAGGACAATGCAATCACGTAAATGTCTCCCTTGGGAATGGCACAGATACCTCCATATCTTATGAAGAGGTTGGCATGTCAGATTTTCAGTATTAAAATATAGCTGCCCAAACCAACTGAGTTTCATTTAAGTAAGTCTGGCCTTTTTCTCCCCTATCCCCTCCCACTTCCCCATGCCGAAACAGCTCATCCTTGAGCTCCAGGAGGCAGCTTGTTTCCAGCAATTAGCTAGCAATGGTTTGCTGTAAGTGCACCAATGGTATAAACCCAGAACAGTGTCTGGATTTTGGTGGGATTTTTTAATTATTTTACCTTGTTGGAAGAAGATTCCAGCCACCCATAGGACAGACACAAAGATTGGAAAGTATTCGGAGCAGTTCGCCCTGAGGAGAACCAGAGAAGAGAAAGTTAAAACTGAAAGCAAAAGCCCACATAAACCCCCTCTCAGGGCAGTGCATTTAGCAATTCATTTTCAAAAATATATTCGCGCGTAGGCAGGATCAGTTTGTGGTATTATGGTCAACGGGTCCCCTTTCTGCACTGTAGGGCAAATATGCAACATGGGCTAAGGAAAAGCACCAGTAAACCAATATTTGCAGTGCTGTCAATCTTCTGAACACGTGGCCAAAATTAGCATCTCCCTCCAATCCTGAGCAGCAGTGGCATAATCTCCTCTTCAGAGATTTACAGACTAAGGCAGAGGTCATATAGTTTGCCCCAGCCCGCTGGCTTTCTGCATCAGATCTGGAATTAAACATGTGTAAGGTATTTCCCCCCTTTAGGTTATTAATAGGAAATTACACAATCAACTAAAGCGTAAAGTTGTAGGTGTTTAAGAATTGCTCTGCATCACACTACTGTGCTGAGTCAAACTTTTGCTCAACTTTAAAAGTCCCCAAAGGAGCATTCTGGCACCCTCCAGCTCCTTTTTTTTAAATGGCAAAAGGCACTAAATCGTCTGCAAGCAGTACATGATGACGTGTCCAAATGTGAAAAGTTTTACAATTCCATGGACAACTCATCTAAAATTTAGCCAAAATCTTCTCCTCTGGCCCTAGGGGATATGCCATATTTGAGTCAGAAACAGGAGTGCTGCAAATTTTATAAAGCAAATGCATTTTTATCTAGAGAGAGAGAGAGCCTGCTGGTTTTCCACTATGAAGTAATAAATCTGTGTTTTTAAAAACATATCAAAGCAGCTCATCTCTCAGAATCAACTGCCACAGAAATAACCTTCCCCAGGTAACAATGATCACATCACTTCCCCTACAAAAGATGCAACAGAGATTCTCAGCCTCACATCTTCTGCCATTCACAGAATTAGACAAAGGTTTGTGGGCTGGAACTGGCCGTGGCGTTTCACGCTTGGTGGCATTTCCGGGTGTCTTAAATGAACTCACGTGAGCATATCTGCCAGTCCACACATTGACTGTTTGCTGAGTGAGAAACTACAGACTATTATCTGTTCAAAATTTACTGCTAGATTGAAACGAGCCGTCCAGTCGTCATCGCAAATCGCAGCCCATGCCTTTTGGCTCCTTGTGGAAGTAAGAGGCAGAACGTGGTTAAAACGAGCACACGCTTCCTCTCCCCTTTTGAATGGAGAAACAACTGAGTCCCACGTTCGTTAGCAGTGTGGCGGACCTGAGCAAGAGCCTGTTTCCAAGGCCTTGTGTCTTGCCCCAGGAATAGCGCTGAGTCAGACCCTCCTTAAAGTGCAGAGATTAAAGAAAGGCGGGGCCTTAGGGTTCTTGAGGCTACAGCCATCTCTCACTATGCACCCCTTCACTCAACAGCGTGAACGGGAACACAGCCTGGGCAGAATTTACTTCCTGAGCTGGCATGTTACACCTCAAAGGAACCCTGCATGACCCCTTCAAAAGAGGAGCCTGGGAGCTTAAATTCATAACGCTGCTAAACATCAGACAGGATCTGTGGCTGGAACCAGCAGTAAGCCTGAGTGGTGAAGATCTGATCTGGATCAGTCTTTCAAGGGAGATTAGATGTAGCGTCTGGCTCTAGCCTCAGTTTAGGTGTAAACACAGCGAGTAAAGGAAAACTCTCTTACTGAGCTCTGAAGACTCTCTCAAATTCTGGTGGGCCTGCTGTATCCGGGGGGGAGACTTTGTATTTCCGTCTGGCATAGATCACCTGCAGCGCAAAATAGGCTGGAAGAAGAGAACAAAGCTGTACATTGTATGTTACACTCATTACACTAGCCCATGCATTATCTGGGTTGGAACTAAGGGAGTTCTAAAAATAGCCACCATGCTTATAGATTTTAATTACAGTCTATGAAAATCAGACACTATTAATGGGTAGACTAAATAAATACCCCATTTATTTCATGTATGTACATTGTATTGAACAGACTGTATGGCACAGACAATTTAGACTTTGACTCGTGCTTTGCATAGCAACCTCACACACAGCTAGCAGCCGCAGTAACGGACACCCCAGTGTATTCTGTTTCATAACCAGCTAAAGTTAGACACAGCTCCAGTTGCACGCTGCTCCAGAACAATGCAGGACTGCCCACCCCCCAAGTTTGAAAATCATGATTCAGAAACCCCCAAATCATGACATTAAAAGAGATCTCATTATTTTTAGGCCAAAATATTAATCATAGTTTTGGACAGTCTTCTGGTTAATGCCCCTGACAATGCTCAGCATATGTGGGGTGATTATAGGCTGAAAATTCAACCTTAAATGCATACGAATGATCATAATAATTAATGTCCTAGCTCTTATCCTAGCACTTTTAATCAGCAGCTCTCAAGTGAAGTATTGTTGTATCCCCATTTTACAGCTGGGGAAACTGAGGCAGAGCCAGAGTCACTTGCCCAAGGTCACACGCAATCCAGTGACAGAGCCGAGAGCATAACTCAGGTCTATTGAGTTCCAGGCCAGTGCTCTTCCACTAGCCCACATGTCCTCTGGCCCCAGGTCCTCTGTGCTTAGGGTGACCAGACAGCAAGCGTGAACAATTGGGACGGGGTGGGGTGGGGGCGGGGCGGGGCGGGGGGGTAATAGGAGCCTATACAAGACAAAGCCCCAAATATCAGGACTGTCCCCATAAAATCGGCACATCGGGTCACCCTATCGATGCTCCTGCTTCTCACAACTCGCTTCCCCGAAAGCTGGCCCATCTCCAAGGGACAGGGCTGCCCTGAGAACCTACCTCCATTAAAACTGCCTGACTGGTGAGGCTGCAGTGCAACAGCTGAGCTTTGGGAAAGTGTGTGTGGGGGCAGGGACACGCCCACACAGCCCTGCTCCAGCTCTGACCCACTCCAGTTGTAAAGCGGTGCCTGGCTGCGGAAGGAGGAACCGCAGGCAGCACTTGCCAAATTCCTGAGCACAACCACAGAGCGCCACCCCCGTGATAACACGGCGAGAGTTGGTGACACTGGCAAGAGCTCCCTTCCCCTCAAGCCCTAAGAAAAGGGAGATGTTCAGGGTGAAAGCAAAGAACAGGACTCAAAGGGACCTGTTCAAAACCCACCTCCTCCTTTTGTTACACACAATCAGTGAGGAAGTAGCTGGAGCCTGTGGGATGGACAGCTGACGCATAAGAATGGATCTGGACGTGTCAGGATCCAAGCCCAAGGACTAAGAACACGGATGGTGCCAGAGCTAGAGCCAAACACTATCAGCTGGCATTGGTGTAAAGACCAACACCCCGCCCTGGAAGGATGATTTTTGCAGCTTTTGCAATAAGGCGCAGCAGCTTATGTCTTTTTAAACTGAACTTTGCCAAATTCAACTCTGTGTCTTCTGAGAATGGGTGCTGGCTGCTCCTTTGAAGCCTGTACCCGGTTGCTACACTCAGCAGCACTTTGCATGCAGCTGGGCCACGTTCACCAGGGTCAGATTCAGCTGTTCTCCAGAAACTCAATGCCTAAGCAGGCACAGTCAGGTGCAAAGCATGCAGCAGATGAAAAAAAATAAAAAGTCGGTTTGGAAAAGCACAACCTTGTGGGCTTTCAAGTCACTAAATGCAGTTGTGCACGCACATGGAAATAGGTTAAGAAGCCCTCCCGCCCCCCCACTGTCCTTCTTGCCCCAAGCTTGTTTACACAATAGACACACTGAACCCTAATTGGGAACCTAGGTGATGTAATTCCCTGTTTTTATAGGACAATTCGAATATACATGGGTTCTTCTCTCTCTCTCCAGTGTCATATTCTGATGGGATCCATGTGTCAATAACAATATCTATTATCTTAGAGGCAACCTGCAAAACATTCACTCTTGTGTAGCCATGCTGGGTTTTTAGCACCTGTAGTCTGCAGCCACTAGAGGAAGACATTTACTATTCAGCATTTATATGGCTTTGGAAAGCTATAACGTACTTCACAGTACATACAAAGATACAGCCGCGATCCAGAGCCGTTACAATCTAACACAGACAAGTGATGACCAGGACAATGGTTCAGATAAAGGAAAATACTGAGAGATCAATATAGATGGGCTTAAGGAACAGAAATCAGTTTTAAGGAGGAGAAAGACATTACAGATGAGCAGCGCTCATGTCCCGTATAGTAGAGGAGGCTGGTATAGACACACTTGGAGGAAAGAAGAGATTTACATAATCTGATGTTGTAATGCAACTTCAATAAATATTACTTAATCATAGAATAGAATATCAGAGTTGGAAGGGACCTCAGAAGGTCACCTAGGCCAACCTCCCGCTCAAAGCAGGGCCAATCCCCAATTTTTGCCCCAGATCCCTAAATGGCCCCCTCAAGGATTGAACTCACAACCCTGGGTTTAGCAGGCCAATGCTCAAACCATTGAGCTATCCTTCCCCCCTACTTAATCACTCTTTTAAAAACACACATGTCCTTATCCAATTGTTGATCTGTTCAGCACATTTCTTCCTATTAATAAGAATTCCGATGTAAATATAATATTGGGGAGGAAACTTACAAAAGAGCTAGAACCCAGTGAATAAGAACTACATCATCACTTTGATTGTGATATGACAAATGCCACTGATGTACCATTCAGCTACAGAGTTCAGTAAAACCCCAAGAAAACAGCCAGAGAGCAGATACGGCTGATATCTTGCCTGGCTATGTACACAGTTCAGTGCTATCTACAGGATATGTGGGGAGAGCTTCAGAAGCAAGATCTAATCAAATATTAATTCCTGTCAACTTCTCTGCATGTCAGTAAAACACAGCCCCCTAAATAAAGGCTGCTTTTTTTCCCTCTCTCTCTCTCATTTTGTTGTCCCCAAGGCACCTCTCAAAAACGTGCAGGCTGATTTAAAGACACTGCATAGACTAGTGCTCACAGTGCTGGATTTTGGCATAACGCTGAGAACATCAGGTGTCACCACATATTCTCAGTTCAGTCCCCTATAAACAGTCAATAACGCATGAGATTAGTTTCATTGCACAACCCTGTTACTGCACTTTTTTTATGCTTAGTCAATAAACAAAGTTTAAACCTGTTACAAGTTTACTTGCACCTGGGAACAATTGAACAGCACGTTCCCATAGGAAACCCCAGGCGCGCAACAAGAATTTGTATAATTAACCATCCCCATCAGAGAGGGCCGCTTGAGAACCCTAGCCCTGCTGTAGGGATCTGAAATATATGCACAGTGTAAGAACGAAGGATTACACACTACAGGTGGCTCTTAGAATGATACATTACAAAACCCACCCCAAGCTTTGCAATAACCCACGTTCAAGCTTTTTCCTCAGAGGCAACTCCCAGAGGGAAGCCAGTTGAATCTGTTCAGACTTTACATTTTTGTCAATAGAGCCTTTTATGCATCTCTGGACAAACACAATATTACACTGACGCAAGGGGGCAAAAGGGGAAAGCTTTGCCCAAAAGAAAAAGAAAACAGAAGCCCACTGTGCTTTCAACACTTCGGTATCAGACATTTGTGTACATTTACTGAACACTAAGCTTCCACCTTTGTTAAACTGTGATTAAGTGTATTAATAACTTACTATCAGCCAAACAACCTTAATTCAGCCTCATCTCATCATCCTCAAAAATGCTGGGAGAAATCTATCTGTTCATCACTGTTTCTCCTCCTTAAGTGTAAGTGTAAGTGTAGACAAACCCAACAGAAAAACTTCCTAGGCATAAAATGATGCTACTTTGCATGACCAAGGCTGTGACCCAGTCCAACATTTGTTAGCAAAGACCTGTAGGTATAAAACTAGTGCTCTGTGACTCACTTTCTATATGCCATCTGCAAAGTGCAAGATGCCTACAGTTGAATACTTCTAAAACCCCCTGGAAAAATTCCTTGATCCAATAATATATGTGTCTCCCTACTTGAGACAAAGTTGTCAAAGTGGAAGCTAGGATGTAGGGGCATTCTAGGGCAGTTGCGCTAAAAAAAAAAAAAGCCTAAATAATAAGCGATTTACTACATCCAAATAGTACAAAAAATGTATAAGCATGTAATCAAACTACTTACAAACAGGCTAAACCCTGGGGTACTTAGACCCATTTTGGTTGGCTCCAGAATGATCAGGCGGGTATTCGCAATGAACCCTTTAAGCATTTACTTTTTAATACCTTTAAACAAGCGATGTCACTGCCAATTACAGACTTCAGCACACACACCCCAGAAAAAGTTAAGACAGTTCACCCTTATTTCCAGTCTTAATCCAGGTAATCTTTACAACCTTATTTCTTCCCAAGGCCTTTCCTCCCCTCTTTCTTGTTGTTCAACAGCTTTTCCATTACACCTGGGTTCACACAGGATTTAACACTGCTGTGTGGGTTGGGGAAGGGCCATGTTGGCTCATTTTAAAACAGATTATCTTTGTTTGATTTAAAACTATCTGCAGTCACTCCTTCTTTTTATAAACTTCTTTTTAGAAACTTCCCCTTATCTCGTTAGTTATTCTTTAAACCAGACATTCTCCCTACTTCATTCCTTTTGGTTTTATCTCATTATTTTCTAGGCCTTCCTTCTACTTGGTAGTCGGGGCCTTTCTTTACAACACAGATTTATTTCCTTAACCAAACTTAAGATAACTTTAATTTTTTTCATATTAGACTTATCCTATACTTTCAATCCCCCTCTGTTTCAGGGACTCTCTGAAATATCTGATGGTCCTATTTCAAACATGAAACTTTCACATTTCCTGAGACCAACACGGCTACAACTGCACTGCATTCCACATTTGCTACAAGGCACTAGTGGTCACCAAAAATCCAACAAAAACATCCCCAGTTTGCAGTTTCTCAGGCTAACCGTTGTAGACATAGGACATAAAACAAGTGTCACAAGTTTTCCAGACAGGGAAAAAACAATGTTTTATGTATTTATTTTTATATTACAGGCACACTTCCAACATTAGCCCATTCTCCCCAAATTTAGCAACATCTGATTCTTCTCCCAAAAGGACATTCTTCCTACAATTTTAGAACAGCAGCAAATTGCTCTTTGTACTGAAAATGCTTTCAAGACCTTAACTACAGAGAAATGACCAACATCTTTAGAATGACATAGATCAGGGGAGAGACTACAAAACCTGAGTCATCAATTGCAAATGCAGGTGAGGTGAATGTTTTGAGGGAGGCAGAATTCCTCTACTCAACTGCAGAGTATACTCAGAGTAATAGAGCAATTAGACCTGAAAAGGCTAGCTCATCTCGGCCAGTGGAGGATTACCTTGTTACACTACACTTTCAAATTCCTTGTTCAGTCTGGTTTTAAGTGTCCCAGAGCAATGGTGCTTCCACCATCTAATAATTCTTACGGTCAGGAAACATTTCTTTAATCCCAGACCAAGCCTACGTTAAAATGGAATTAAAGATGAATTCTGGGTAAAATACAGTACAGGGATATTTCAATTATTCCCCAATCAAGCCTTAAATACCCAAGAAATTTGGAGTTAAGCTTTAAATGAAAAGAAATTCAGACATGCTCAAGTATGGAAACAATCAAGCACCCAAAATGACCTTCACTCTCTCTCCTATAGTCATAAAATGGCTAAAATCATGACAGTGTTTGGGGCCCAGATTAGATTTAAATGATTTCTGAGGACACGTTACTTTAGGCAAGCCATTCATCTGGTTTTAAACTGAACGGTCCTGTTTTCTAAGGTTTGCCACCCACCCAGCACTAGGGTGACCAAATAGCAAGTGTGAAAAATCGGGACGAACGTGAGGGGTAATAGGCGCCTATACAAGAAAAAGCCCCAAATACCGGGACTGTCCCTATAAAATCGGGACATCTGGTCACCCTACCAGGCACTGGGGCAAAACCAGTCATGGTTTTGTCTGGCAGTTGACAGGGGACACCATGTTGAAGAGTGCACTACCCTGCCTCTCTGACTGTGCACATGAGGTCACCTGGGCAGGGCAGGGTGCGCTTCAAAATGGCTTGCCAGGTAACCTTGCATGCGCACATGGCAGCATGGGCAGGATCACGCAGGCCCATGTCATTCCCAGAAGTACCAGATTGCCTGGTGTTATGGGGATCTGTGAGTGGCCAATCTACATTAATTCCACCTCCCCATGGGAAATTAGGATTTCTCATAATTTTTCATAACAAATTTGTCATAACAGAAGCTGACGCATAAAATCTCTTTCAGAGGAACTCATGAACAAGTGTCCTCTTTCAAAACAGCAACCATTTCCCATTGTTTTCAATGGGACTGAGATGACACAATGCCCCTCTGGGAAGATGGTGTCTATCCCTTTTTTCAAAATGGCTAATTGAGGGCACTCTATGGCCTCACTCCCAGTGGGAACAAGGTAAATATGGAAGCCATTTTGAAAGAGAGCAGTTCTTTGTGCAAGTCTCTGTATAGAACATTCTTCAGCCGCTACTTGAAGAAAGAAAAGGAGTACTTGTGGCACCTTAGAGACTAACCAATTTATTTGAGCATGAGCTTTCGTGAGCTCATGCTCAAATAAATTGGTTAGTCTCTAAGGTGCCACAAGTACTCCTTTTCTTTTTGCGAATACAGACTAACACGGCTGTTACTCTGATACTTGAAGAAACTTTCACTTAATGAATATGCAAAATGACCATTAATTCCAAAAAGTGTAGCCTATGAATGAGTTCAGTTAGCTTTAACTGTACGAAAAGTTTGAGGAGTCTGTATCATTCCATTATTAGGATTGTTAGGGACAAAAAATGATCTGACAAGGTGCCAGATTCCTTAAAAGGCACATTTTAAAATGAATTATAACTCCTAAACTAATTAACAGATTTACTTGTCAATTCTCAGAAAATTAATTCTAAACTCTAAGATGAGAACTGTGATTGTAGTGAGATTGCTATATATGAAAAATACAGTGTAAAGAGATTGAATCCCTGCTTCAAGTAAAAAAACCAACCTCCCTCCACCCCCAAAACCCATTCAACTCAACCTTCTCTATACAGCTGCAACAGTCTCCTCCATGATGTTCAATCTGAGGATCTCTTCTCTTAACTCTAATTCCAGTACTCCTTGGACTGGACTAAATAAATTTTCTACCTCTGGTATATACTGTTCAAACACTAGTTGTATGTAGTGTTGTAGTAACCGTGTTGGTCCCAAAATATTAGCGAGACAAGGTGGGTGAGGTAATATCTGTTATTGGACCAACTTCTCTGGGTGAGAGAGACAAGCTTTCAAGCCGCATGGAGCTCTTTTTCAGGTCTGGGAAAGATACTTCCAATGTCACAGCTAAATGCAAGGTGGAACAGATTGTTTAGCCTATTCTAATCTATTCCACCATGTATTAAACTGTGAGGCTGAGAGGACCATTCTCAGAGCTGAAGAGCTCTGTGTAGCTCAGAAGCTTGTCTCCCTCACCAACAGAAGTTGGTCCAGTAAAAGATATTACCTCACACACCTTGTGAATAGTGAATTGATAACGCCGGTAAGTCAACTGTTAGTTTCCAGTTAACATTTCATTTTCATTTCTGTAGCACATGATGAGGTGTGAGGGCTGCAAGTCATTTGAGCTCTTTGCAACTCAAATACCAGCGGTGGCGATGACCATCTTCATCCCGAGCATCCCCGAAACAATTTGCATCATTTACCGCCCAGGACAAAAGCAGCCTTTCATCCCGCACAGCTTGGTGACCCCCCCGCTGCAATGACACAGCGGCAGTGAATGGGGAAGGGCCGGGCACGGTACCTTGCTCCAAGACTCCCAGGACGGTCACAGCGGCTAGCAACGCGATCTGATCCAGCATCTTGGGTCTGACGGGCGTTGGGGCAAAAAACCGGTCCCAGCTCCTGCAGGGGAGTGACTGCGGAGTACGGTCCGCTCCCCCTGCCGTGTGTACACCGCCGCCGCCAGCTACTGCTCCGCGCTAGCATGTGCTTCCTCCTCGCAGCGCTAGTTAACCCCTTGCATGCTGCAGAGCTGTTCCTGGACAGCCGCAGCGACAGCAGGTAGGCGAGTGCCTGGCTCGGGGAAGACGTGGCCAGCCCTAGGGACCGAGGTCAGAAAAGCAAATTCTTGCTCTTGGGGGGGGCGGTGCCCAAAGTCCTTCCTGTGCGGACACAGGCTTGGGAGCGCGCACGAGCGGCCGCCCCCCGGGTCCCCTGCGGAGCCCCGCTCCCAGGCCAGCAGCTCGCGCGGGGGAATCCCAGCGGGCTCTGCAATCGCGTCCCTGCAGCCGGGGGGTGGAAGGACTGAGAGAGAGACGAGCAGGGGTGGGGAAGAGGCAGGAGAAAGGGGCGGGAGCGGAGCCCGTGGGCAAGGGGGAAACTGACCCATCCCCGCCTCGAATGGTACTGGGAGGAGGGTGGGGGGTGTTTTTTCCTTTTCGTGCCTGGGTCAAGGAGACTCCAAACCACACCGGCCAGTGAGGGGTTTGTTTGTTTTATTTATTTAAAAGCTGCAACCTAAAAGCTGGACTCCCTCCCGCGGCCTTTTCTTTGGGGCTGTTATTCTTGGCCAGCTTGAAATACTTAAGACTGCTGGAGGAGTCCAGGTTCTAGCCTCTTCTTGGCCTAGGGATTTCAGGGAGGTGGTACAGCTGTTTTTCCTTCTCCATTACATAGTCCAGCTTTCAGAAGCTTTTTACATTCCACACAAGCCGATATTTCCCCTGGCCAAGTTCTCAGCCCAGGAAGGAACTGTTTGCAGACCCCAAGGGTAGCTGGGGCAGCTGGAACAATATGAAATACATGGGGAAAGATTAAATATTAAACAAAAAACACAGTTTATCAACATTAAAAGAGGGGAAATTCAATTCTGCTCTTATCTTACTCACACAATAACATTTTCTTGAAGTAGGCAAAAGAACAAGAACGCATTTTTGAAAATTTTACCCAGAGTGCTTACGGGTTCTCATTTGGAATTCCCCTGGAGTTGCTAAGGTGGAGCAACTGTTTCCTTGTTTAAGGGAACACAACTGTAAATTAAGGAGTAGATTATGGGTCAAATAAATTTAGACTGGCGTCAGAATCCTCTAAAACACAACTCTAGATGTAAAATTTGGGTAACAGGAGTTCCATAACTCTTGAACAATGCTTCTCCCTGACTCACAAGTGCCTAATTTGTTTTCAGCAAAATGCTAACAAATTCTTGCTCCAAAACAGAGGGGGTAAATGAAGAGATTGATTTTGGCTTTTTAACTCCCCTGTTTAAGAAATCAAAATATCATTCAACATCCACTGAGGATGTTTTCCTTAATTTTTGTTGGAGAGGGAAGATATTATGCTTGAAAGAGCCTCTTAAAAATTCCATAGACGATAGGAACAGTGGCTTGCCAATGGAATAAGTGCACTAGCTAGAGCAAAAGAAACAGGCTGCCATCCTGACTGAGGTAAGACTTGATGATACAGGTCAGAAGCTAGAAATTGTAGTTTAGATTATATTTCACTCGTGTCAAGTTAAAATAATTCAGTAATTTCAAGTGTCCACTACAGCTAAGCCCAAATTTTGCAATACTCATCCAACATGACTGTGTCCTCTAACCTTATAGGCTATTTTCCTCCAATTGTATTACATCTTTAAGTGTCCTGACATTTTCATAAAAGTTAGATTTTACCCATTTGAGGTCTCTATCATAAATAGTATGGGAAATGTCACTTAGGGCCTGCTCTCGCTTCCATTGACTTCAATACAGTAGAACCTCAGAGTTACAAACACCCTGGGAAGGGAGGTTGTTCATAGCTGTGAAATGTGTGTAATGCTAAACAAAGTTATGGGTGTTTTTTCAAAAGTTTACAACTCAATATTGACTTAATAGAGCTTTGAACCTTTACTATGCAGGGGGAAAAAATGGTGCTTTTAACCATCTTAATTTAAATGAAACAAGCACAGAAACAGTTTCCTTCCCGTGTCCATTTTTTTTTAACTTTTCCCTTTAATTTTTTAGTAGTTTATGTTTAACACAGTGCTGTACTGTATTTGCTTTTCTTTTTTTGGTCTCTGGTGTTCATAACTCTGTAGAAGCAGAATCAAGGTTTAGAATCTGCTGATAAACCACACTTATTTTAACTGCAGACAAAAATCATCAGTTTACAAGCCAAAGATATAGACAAGTAGCCACGGTGACAGGCAAGAAAGTACAAAAAGACAATTTCAGAGCTAAGGTTGATAGCAGTTTGCATTAGCCCCTTGAGTCCTTGGAAACTCACATGTGTGCACCTATGCTCATATAGCTAGTAGCCTGGAAAAGATCCACATTAGTCAACAGTAAGTTACAATGTAATGTCTTTAGTGTGATAATACATTATGATCTGTAATGCAACAGTTCCACTGAGGTTACAGCTGGTGCCCTCTGGACCTGATGCTTTTATTACTCAGACATGAACAGATTGTTAGATCAAGTTCTCCCTGGATGTACAGAGTTGCAACTGCTCTCCCACTCCTGCACAATTAAATCAAGCAACATAAAAAAGGCAGGAAACAGACAAGAGTTTCAAAGGACACGTAGCTGAGGAGAGTTTGCAGGTTGTGAGAACATAAGAATGGCCATACTGGCTCAGACCAAAGGTCCATCCAGCCCAATATTCTGTCTACCAACAATGGCCAATGCCAGGTGCCCCAGAGGGAGGGAACCTAACAGGTAATGATCAAGTGATCTCTCTCCTGCATCCATCTCCACCCTCTGACAAACAGAGGCTAGGGACACCATTCCTTACCCATCCTGGCTAATAGTCATTAATGGACTTAACCTTCATGAATTTATCCAGTTCTCTTTTAAACCCCGTTATAGTCCTAGCCTTCCCAACCTCCTCAGGCAAGGAGTTCCACAGGTTGACTGTGCGCTGAGTGAAGAACTTCTTTTTATTTGTTTTAAACCTGCTACCCATTAATTTCATTTGGTGACCCCTATTTCTTATATTATGGGAACAAGTAAATAACTTTTCCTTATTCACTTTCTCCACACGACTCATGATTTTATAGACCTCTATCATATCCCCCCTTAGTCTCCTTTTTTCCAAGCTGAAAAGTCCTAGCCTCTTTAATCTCTCCTCATATGGGTCCCATTCCAAACCCCTAATCATTTTAGTTGCCCTTTTCTGAACCTTTTCTAATGCCAGTATATCTTTTTTGAAATGAGGGGACCACATCTGTACTCAGTATTCAAGATGTGGGCGTACCATGGATTTATATAAGGGCAGTAAGATATTCTCTTTCTTATTTTCTATCCCTTTTTTAATGATGCCTAACATCCCATTTGCTTTTTGGACTGCTGCTGCATACTGCGTGGACGTCTTCAGAGAACTATCCATGATGACTTCAAGATCTTTCTCCTGATTAGTTGTTGCTAAATTAGCCCCCATCATATTTTATGTATAGTTGGGGTTATTTTTTCCAATGTGCATTACTTTACATTTATCCACATTAAATTTCATTTGCCATTTTGTTGCCCAATCACTTAGTTTTGTGAGATCTTTTTGAAGTTCTTCACAGTCTGCTTTGGTCTTAAAGATCTTAAGCAGTTTAGTATCATCTGCAAACTTTGCCACCTCACTGTTTACCCCTTTCTCCAGATCATTTATGAATAAGTTGAATAGGATTTGTCCTAGGCCTGACCCTTGGGGAACACCACTAGTTACCCGAATTAGCTCTGTTGCTTTGAAGTTTTTCCCTCTACAACATTTGATTGTTTTGGGGCTGAAACTAACTGAAATCAGACTCCTCTCCCCAAGAACTCACTGATGGAGAATCTAGAAGATTGGGGACCCTCATGTCTGGCACAGAGTTCTAGATGTAGGCCGAAGTCACATGCCTTGGCTGTCTGCAGCAACCTCTAGCCAATAGCAGCCCTCTGTTGTAAGGGAGGTTGCAGTGAATTAATTCCCAGTGCTTTTCAATGGTCGGGAAGCAAATGAAGGAAGAGCAGGAGGAAGCAGGCCTCTTTTTAATCCACCCTCCACTGCTGCAACGTCCCTCTTTCCTTCCCCTTTTTCCCTGCAGGTAAGTGGTTGAATGTGGTACATTTGTCACACTATGAACATCAGGCCAAGGTCGATCATAGTCAGTAGTGGGGCATAGACACATCTGGACTTTGTAGTCTGTGTACCATTTGACTAGTGCAGGCACATGTCGCAACTGATGTCTTCAATGTACAGGATCACACTTTCAGCAGCTGGTGCTGGCAGCAGGGGCTAGTTTTCCCTCAGTGGAGACAAAATTAATGGAGGATGTAATTGATGGTCCTAACCCCTCTAATTTTGGGCTCAGAGTAGTGCTGTATGTGATGTTGATTTATATGGTCAGGATTATGACTAAGGTAAACCCAATAATTATGGGAAATGTTAAAATGCTCTGAATTTGAGCATCAAAAGGGTAAAGGCCAATAGCAGCTTCAGCAAACAGGGGCCTTAGCTCCCTCACCCCTTCACTACTTCCAAGACAGGAGCTGTTGTCAAATCTTATAATTGGACCCTACCAAATTCACAGCTAGGAAAAACGCATCACGGACCATTAAAGCTGGTCTTTTGTGTGCTTTTGCCCGCTACAATAGATTTCAAAGGGGAGGCCAGTGTTTCTCACAGTGGAGGTCCTGATCCAAAAGAGAGGTGCAGGGGTATTGCAGTTATTTTAGGGAGCTCATGGTATTGCCACCCTTACCTATGTGCTGCCTTCACAGCTGGGAAAATGGAGAGCAGAGGCTGCTGACCGGGCACCTAGCTGGGAAGGCAGCACTCCACCAGCAGCAGCACAGACGTAAGGGTAGTAGAATCATAGAATAGCAGGGCTGGAAGGGACCTCCAACTAGGAGGTCATCTAGTCCCACCCCCTGCTCAAAGCAGGACCAATCCCCAACTAAATCATCCCAGCCAGGGCTTTGTCAAGCCTGACCTTAAAACTTCTAAGGAAGGAGATTCCACCACCTCCCTAGGTAACGCATTCCAGTGTTTCACCACCCTCCTAGTGAAAAAGTTTTTCCTAATATCCAACCTAAACCTCCCCCACTGCAACTTGAGACCATTACTCCTCGTTCTGTCATCTGCTACCACTGAGAACAGTCTAGATCCATCCTCTTTGGAACCCCCTTTCAGGTAGTTGAAAGCAGCTATCAAATCCCCCCTCATTCTTCTCTTCTGCAGACTAAACAATCCCAGTTTCCTCAGCCTCTCCTCATAAGTCATGTGTTCCAGTCCCCTAATCATTTTTGTTGCCCTCTGCTGGACTCTTTCCAATTTTTCCGCATCCTTCTTGTAGTGTGGAGCCCAAAACTGGACACAGTACTCCAGATGAGGCCTCACCAATGTCGAATAGAGGGGAATGATCACGTCCCTCGATTTGCTGGCAATGCCCCTACATATACATCCCAAAATGCCATTGGCCTTCTTGGCAACAAGGGCACACTGTTGACTCATATCCAGCTTCTCGTCCACTGTAACCCCTAGGTCCTTTTCTGCCGAACTGCTGCCTAGCCACTTGGTCCCTAGTCTGTAGCGGTGCATGGGATTCTTCTGTCCTAAGTACAGGACTCTGCACTTGTCCTTGTTGAACCTCATCAGATTTCTTTTGGCCCAATCCTCAAATTTGTCTAGGGCCCTCTGTATCCTATCCCTACCCTCCAGCGTATCTACCTCTCCTCCCAGTTTAGTGTCATCTGCAAACTTGCTGAGAGTGCAATCCACACCATCCTCCAGATCATTTATGAAGATA